TCATACCAGTAATGGGGTGGGGTAGAACAGCACACAAAGGAGCTTGCGTTTCAAATACCAGCACAAAGAACTGCTTCTTGAAATATGTAACATTTCCAACTGCAGGAAGGCACAATTGGCTGCATGTGTCAGTTGTATATAGACCTTCCAAAAGGACACAACACGAATGGACTACAGTGTATAGTCTAGATCTCATTATAACACAATCAAAAATATGAGCTGATATTTCCACCTCTGACACCGTGTGAGTTTTTCAGTCTGCTTCGTATTCATGGGGGTTCAGTTGAACGAATTAATACCATAGTTAGAGGGAAAAAATTATTTGGCAGAACGGAGGGATAAGGAGGGGATAGGAGGAGTAATTGGCATGGAAAGTCATTTGATATTACCAGTTAAGCTCCAGAATTGGGGTTTTGAGGATAATTCCAAACAAAATCCCAGACATTGGTTTGGAAACTGTTTCTCTACTAATCTATGTTCTACTTTTGTGGCGTTCCAATGAATGATATCCCAAAATTATAAATGTTTTCTTTAAACCGAATTTCCTATGAATTGGCAACAATTAGTTTAATTGGATTGAAGGAAATATGATTAATTTTGAGAAGGATATGTTTGCTCTGAATCTTCTCAAGGAAAATCCATTCTGTTTTGGTAAAAGTATGAACCATAGTTATAAACAATTCCTGAAACAGTGCAGTTCTATGATAAATTTGAGGACTCACTTAAATACTGACATATTCTCTGTAATGTTAGGCTACAAGAATTCAATGTATTACAGGGAGTATTATTTTTTTTTAGCTTTTATTTTATTAGTCAACATACAGCATTATATTAGTTTCAGGTGTAAAATATAGTGATTCAATGCTTCCATCCATCACCTGGTGCTCATCACGACAAGGGCGCTCCTTCATCCCCATTACCTAGTTCCCCCATTCCCCCACTCACCTCCCAACCGGTGACCATCGCTTGTTCTCTGTAGTTCAGAGTCTGTTGTTTGGTTCTCTCTCTCTCTCTCTCTCTCTCTCTCCCCTTTGCTTATCTTGTTTCTTAAATGTTTCTTAAATATGACTGAAATCCTATGGCATTTGTCTCTCTCTGCCTGACTTCTCTCACTTAGCATAATACCCTCTAACCCACATCTCGACTTCCTTCGCAGTTTCTCATCTCCTCCTCATTTCTGCAGGTGTTCATTGCATCCATTCATTGGCTCACTCTTTAGAAATGCAGAGCTATAAAATTTTTACTTCAATATATTAATAACTATCATTTATTAAACAGGCATTCCAGTTCCTTTATATATTATGTAATTGAACCCTTGGGACAGTGTTTTCATCTCCGTTTCAGAGCTGAGAAAGCCGAGTTCCTGAAGAGTTGGCTAACTTGACCAAGGCTGCATTCAAACCCAGACCTAATACCGCAGCCTGTGTAGTTTTCACTACGTTATGCTGTCTCTGAACAAAAGAAGTTGTCAGAACCATCATAAGGGGAACTATATTAAAATACCAACTAAATGTTCACGGAGGATAAACAGAACAAACTATATCAGACAAAATACCTTTTCCAAAATATTAGCCACAAGAGCTTGAAAAAATGTTCTAGAACTGCATCCCCTTAATCCTAAATCATGACTATTACTCAATTATTTACACTTAAATTTTTGGAGATTGAATGCTTATTGTCTTAGATCCTAATTAAGGGCTTGTAGGCATCTTCATAAATGTAGCAGTTAAAACTTTTAATAAAAATTCAAAGCATCTACAAACTTTGGTTTCTCAATAAAATATTTATATGGGGTTTAAAGACTATTTTCTATCAGAAATTGGCCACATTCTCCTCATCATCCTTGTGCCTGTTTTCCTCTGTACTACTGAGAAGCCTTGGCAATTTATCACAGGACAAAATACAGAGAAAGAGGAGGAGGAGGAGTAACCTTCAACTTGAGCATAAATCATACTCCCGCCACCACTGTCCAGGAACCCGAATGAGATCCAAGGGGAGTGGCAGGGACCATTTTAGTTGAGTTACCTAAAGTGGCTACACTGGATCACCAACTCATAGGTCCCGAATTAGCTACTGACCCCTCCTTCTGGTATTTCACAGAGGTCAAAAGTGAAACTGAGATGTCCCTGAACCAGGCACAGGAAAAGAGGAGAGGACTTAAGAATCCAACAAAACCGATTTTTACTGAACGGGGAGATACAAAAATATGTATAAATAACATTTTCTTATGTGACCGAAACAGTAATTATCATTGGAATACAATGTGGTGTCTTTTTGCCAAAGAGTAACACATATTTGAAATAAGTCTCTCCAATGCTATTGTGACTTACATAAATCTTAAGAATGAAGGTCTGTTACGGGTTCCATCATGCATATTTCCCCCGATAGAGCCCCAGAGATCATTTGTAGCAACACATAGAGCTTACCGTAGACAAAATAAAATGGAATGAAGTTTTTTTTTATGTAGGTCCGAATTCATCCCTCCATATTTGTGTGTGTGTGTGATTTAAATTATTTTACTAGATCTCAGAATACAAAATAAGGTAATACATAATCATTGTAGGAAATCATATAATACTAAGCTCTATAAATAAAAATAATATCCTAACTCTTCCCAAATCCCACAATTTTGTTAGCAGTTTCTACATATCCTTCTACACCTTTCTTTGACTCATTGTAATATGTGCCTATTTCCTTTTAACTTCTTTTCAAAATAGTATTATATTACTCCACAATTTGCTTTTATCATTTATCAATAAATCACTGATGTTCTTCTGATTAATACATGAAAACACCCATTCTGTTTTCCTAGTCGCATAATGCTAACTAAAATGACCAGTAGAAATAAATGACCAAGCCCTAGATTTTGGCCTCCAATTCCAAACCCCACTGAAAGGTATAGAGTTTCTTGGGAAAATGGCCAATTCCAGATCTCGTTTGGCAGCAGAGAAGACACAAGACGAGCCTGAGACATCATGCAGTGCCAGAAAGCAGGGAAGAGCTCAAAGATAAGGCCATTTCAAAAGGGCACTGGAAGCAGCTCAAAGAGGCCCCTGCTAGTCAAACGTGTGACAATGTGAGCAGCAAACAGAGTAACCGCCGCCAAGCTGGTAAGTAATAGCTATACAGACTTGGTGTGGGGGAAGTGAAGTAATGCGTGCCACCTTCTGCGGCCAGCAAGAAGTAGTCAATGTTGAAACTGAGTTTCCATGACTCCAAAGCAGTGCTTCTACTCTACATCCTGCCTCTTGATCAAAGCAGTGCCGAACTGAAAAGTGCAGAAAGGAGGAGAATAAAGAGACAGCTAGGAAGAGGCACGTAAGGAAACCTGAACTTAATTTTCACCGGAAAGGATTTTCTAGTAAGTGGCCCCATCCAACAATACAAAAGCAGAATCATAGACACCTAAGCAGAGGTTGGATAAGATGGCATTCAGAAAGTCCAGCACTCATGTTCAGATGAGCCAAGTGCTCCTCCCTCGTGGTGGCACTTGCCTTTCATGTCCCTGTAATGGTGGTGAATCCCCACCTCGGGCCATGGTATGTTCTCCACCCCCCCCCCCCCCCGTTATCTCTGATACGCAGATTCTCCAAAGACCAGACTATTCCTTCAGTTCCCCCTCATGCCCTGTGGCTCCGGGACTTCAGTGCTTCCTGCCTCACAGCGTCCCCCAGCAGGCCCCGGGAACTCTTCCCAGAGCTCTGCCCCCCACCCCAGGGATGCTGAGCCCCGCCCCCCACTGTTGCAGAGTAGAGCCCACCTCCCACTACCCAGTCACCCTGGGAGGGGTTTTGACCATTGTCTCCCCCACCCCCAAACTCTCCTGGGACCTAGAGAGAGGAAATAGTAGTTTATCCTTCATCACCAGCCCTGTGCTCCCCCTCCTGGGACGGTACGACTCTGGCCGACAATGAAGAATTATGTGGATAGCTTAGAGTTATAGCTTCTCTTTGGCAAAACCAAAAGGTCTGCTTGGTCATTTTTCTTCCCCACAACTGAAGAGCAATCATTCTCAAAGGAGAATCAAGCACCCATCTCTAAGCAACAAAATAAACCACAGAAACTTCAACACTGGTGTCTTTTTCTCCCAAGGCTTAACTATCCTAGGCCTTTCCTCTGACTCACTGTTCCCAGTCCCCTCTTGGCTCCTGCCACTAGCAATATGCACACTTGCCCCTTAATGCTGAGGTACACTGGCTCGTGCGATGGGCACTGAGATGTGTTGTCCAGGTCCCCCTTCCAGGAAGGGCTGGTTGCCCTAGCTGATGGGAGGGCTGCAGGTAGAGAGCCAGCCTTCCGCTGGAGGCAAGTGAGCGGCAGAGGGCTGTCAAAGTCAAGGTCACATCCTTCTAAGGGTGGCCTACACCCAGTGATAGCTGATCAAAGTAAAGGTATAAAATCCGTGCTATTTGGCCCCACATGGGATCATTATATGCCAGAGCTATCCATGGAGATGGCCAAGGCTGACTTGGCCTGCCTTACAGCCCAACTTCTCCCTCTATCCAATCTGGTTTCCTTCTTCTCCCCTTCCAGGTGTTGATTCCTTTTAGACAAGTGCACACCAAACTCTTTCTCATGGTATGCTTCCAGGAGAAACCAACTTGCAACACCCTGCTACAAGATCCCTGTTAGAACAACCATGGACCAATATTCCCAACACAAACTCCGCATATGGTCTCCTGAATCCATGCAACTCCGGAGGGAGGGCAGTTTCCTTCCAGATAAAGCCCCCTCCCTCTGATCATAGGCCACTCAGGCCTCATCAGATGAGTCAGGCACCAGCCCTCTGGGCTCCTCAGATGCAAGGAACAAACCCTACAGGGCTCAGCTTGGTCCCATAGATGCTCCCCTCAGTAGGCCAGGGGCTAGGAGTAGGAGGCGCCTGCCCTCATTCTGGAGGGTAAGGAGTGGTGGGACTTTCGATGCCACTTCCTCTAAGAAGCCCCCCCCCCCATGACACACACACACACACACACACACAAACTCCTCTTAACTCTTACCTTCCATGTCAGTGACTCTTCCCTTCAGGTTTTCCACAGTCAACTGAGAATTACTGTCCTGGTGGTATCTTGGAATGTGGTGGCCATTGTCTTCATTCCTCAGCCAAAACTGACCCTAGAAGAGCCCCATTTTAACAACATGTTACATTATGGAAATGCTTGAACATGGCAAGAATATCTTTTGGAAGAACTCTAGCAGTGGTCTTCTCTGTGGAGGGAAATGGATGAGCAGGGGAGAAGGAAAGCACTGAGACATGCTTTTCACTGTTTTTTGTGCTTTGGGGTTTTTGTGCCACGTACATGTATGTTATACCTATTAGACTGAACCTTACAGAATTACCAATATTTGACCATTTAAAAAAATTTTTTTCAAGATTTTATTTTTAAGTAATCTCTACACCCAACGTGGGGCTCAAACTTAGAACCCTCGAGATCAAGAGTCACATGCTCTGCCAACTGGGCCAGCCAGGCACCCCAATATTTGACCATTTCTGATCTACAATTTTCTTATTACGTTGTCTACCCTCAGCATAGTCAATTAAAGGAAACCAGAGATGGACTACTTGATGTTTCTCCCACCATCAGATTATAATGACTATAAGTGGCCTAAACTGTCCCTTATCTCTTCCTCTCAAACCCTGACCCTGCTATATAATTTTCCTAGTAACATCTCTTATACTTTAAGTTTGTTTCTGGAAGCAGAATAGAAACAGAATGCAACCTAAGGAAGATAATCAGTAACAGTCCCACTCTGTCCCCACCCTATGTCTAATACTCTCCCCAAGGCCCCAGATAAATTACTATCTTTCAAGACTCTGCCAAGACACCAGAGTCTTTTCTGAATTTCTTCTTGCTGCCTACAGCCCACTGAAGAGAGACTGACGATTCTGCTGCTCAGATGCCTATCAGAGGCTCTATCACAGTATTGACCTTATGCGTACACACACCTGGCTCCTTCATTAGACGATTTTTTTTTAAGAAAAAAAGTTCTTGTGTTCATACCCCAAATTAGAGCAGCCCCACGATCGGACCAGTAGGTTCTGATAAAAGAGGATCAATAAGCCATTGCTAAATGAATGAATGGCCTCATTGTAAAAGCTGGCATTATTCATACCACAAATGAATTTAACAACTACCTCATGCTGTACACTCCTTATTCAGGTTTGAGGGCAATATTCTGCGTAAATGTACAGTGGGATACAACTGTGAATCATTAGCTTCTGCGGATTTCTACTCAAATGGTCCGTATATGACAGATGTCTTGGATCCCCAGTCCTAGCACACAGAAACGCACTCTTTCTGAAAACATACCTTGACAAAGAAGGGTAGCCAGTAAGACCCTGGCTCCTACAGACGATAATTCTGTTATGCTTCATAGCCTCCAAATTTCTATCTTGCTTCTAAGTGATGAAGAATTTCGAGTCTCCAAGGAGGACAAATAACAGGAGAAAACTTTGTCAGGAAACGACAGGCCCTCAGGGCTGGAGTTTAGAAAACACTTACGCAGGTGAGGCTGTTTTCAAGAAGTTTTGACTATATAAATTCCTCTTTGTCAGAGTTACCATGTATTAGTCTAAGACAGTTATTATATTTTCTTATTATAAGCATGCACTGTGTTCTGCATCTGGAGAGCTTGCCAAACTGTAGATTTATTCCTATTTCTATACATCTGTGAAAAGAATGTGTGTTCTGTTTCATCAGGGAGTTACTTGAAGTCACAGGTTGCTAATTCCAAATGAATAGAAACAGTGATTAATCTGGGAGATACGAGCTCGCCACTATTCATGTAACAGATGTCCATTATGATGAGCTACACATTTGTTCCACGTTTATACTAGAATACAAAACAGGAGAGCCCAACCATTTTGTGAAAGAAAGAAAGGGAGAAAAGAAAAGCAAAGAGAAAAGAAAAGAAAGGAAAGGAAAGGAAAAGAAAAGAAGAGAGAAGAAAAGAAAAGAAAAAAAGATGAAAAGAGGATGATGGGGGAAGGGGGAATTAGAAAATACTTTGAAAATGTTTATTCAGGTGCCAGGTTAGATGCGCAGAAATGTGCGGTATGTCTGCAGGGTGGCAGGTAAAGAGCGGAGGGGAGGTAGAGAGGGAGAACCCGGGGGTAAATGTTCCTGGCTTCATTTCAGGGTGTGGATATTAACTCAGTTCATCTCACTTGGCTGACAGAAGCACTAATGCCAAAACCAGCAATTTCATCAGCATCAGCTACACAGAAGATGGGATTTCCGAGGGAGGCAAAAGAAGAGGGAGAATGATGTATGTAATTTTATTCAAATAATTAAAAACAAAGTTGGCAGTCTATCTTCCTGTCAAGAAGAATAAATATCAGACTATGGAGTTGGAAGGGGGAGTGCAAGAGGCTCCCTGCTGCTCCATATTAACTCCGGTCCAATACAAACTTTATAGTTGACTCTTTACAAAAACATCCATTTAAAATGATCCTCCTATGTTTTTTTTTTTTTGGTTACTCTGTGAGTAGAGCTAACACAGCAAGAGGACACAAGCCAGGAGTAAGTGTGGAGGAGGCTGCCTGCCGGAGGCACACTAGAGCCCCTCGCTTCATAGCCACAAATACAGGGTTTGTATAACTCCGCCACTTCTCCAAAATAAGATGAGTGAAAGAGAGGTTTCCAGAACTTTCCTTTCTCTCATTATTTACCTCCTGTCCTCATATGCCCAAAACAAAAGCAGGGCCCGGCGTACAGTAGGATCCAAGTACATACATACACACACATATATACGCACATACTTTTTTAATGAATTAAATGAACAGGGGCTGGACTTAATGAACGACACAAGCACAGGGATGGATAATATTTATCAATGGAGTCATTATCTTCTGTATTTGCAGACTCACTGGATTATAGCAGATGCAATATCATAACCAAAAGCTAAAGAACCCTCTCTGAATGTCTTAACCTGGCTATTACATGTCCTAAACTATACCTTCCCAGAGTTTCTTTTTCAATTGCAACTGTTTAGAGGAGAGGACAAGCTCCATTTTGTTACTAATGAAGAGAGAAGATTAGCATAGCCAAGTGACAAAAAAAATAAGAGTTCAAACAGACTCACTGATGACGGTTTTCCTTCTAAAGCATTTTAATCAGTATTCTTCTACATTTCCAGTAATGTATCAAATCACTCTTCAATCGCTTCTAAAATGTTGAATTTAGGATGCAAAAGGCTCCACAATTATATCTAAACCTTTCTTTCTAGTATTTGAAGATGAGGACAGAAGTGAGCACCTCCTGTATTTGCAACACTCCCAAGTCCAATTAGAGAACGGAGCCGTTCCTCAGAAAAGCCCACGTGGGGACTGGACTTGTGGGAATTGCACAAGCATGGGAACAGCAGACTTGTCTACCTTGAGCAATGCAGGGAGCAAGACACCGCAAAGGTAGCCAAAATGATTAAGGAGGAATTCAGCTAATTAAAAATGACATGTTGCTATGCCAAGTTAGAAGTGTTGGTAAGTGGGTACTTTCAGACAGCTAAAAGGTTCTTTCAGGCATCCCAAATTGCTCTGCCAAAGCCTTAATATTTTAGTCTAATCCCACTGAGTGAGCCAAGTTGATGATGACAGAGAAAAAAAAGGCTTTCCTTTTCGAAGGAAGTAGGAATTAGGATAATACAGGGGTCAGCAAAGTTTTGCTGTAAAAAGCCAAACAGCAGGGGTGCCTGGGTGGCTCCGTCGTTAAGCGTCTGCCTTCGGCTCAGGTCATGGTCCCAGGGTCCTGGGATCGAGCCCCGCATCGGGCTCCCTGCTCGGCGGGAAGCCTGCTTCTCCCTCTCCCACTCCCCCTGCTTGTGTTCCCTCTCTCACTGTGTCTCTGTCAAATAAATAAATAAAATCTTCTTTTTTTTTTTTTTTAAGATTTTATTTATTTATTTGAGACAGAGAGAATGAGAGAGAGAGAGCACATGAGAGGGGTGAGGGTCAGAGGGAGAAGCAGGCTTCCTGCCGAGCAGGGAGCCCGATGCGGGACTCGATCCCGGGAGTCCAGGATCATGACCTGAGCCGAAAGCAGTCGCTTAACCAACTGAGCCACCCAGGCGCCCCATAAATAAAATCTTCTAAAAAAAAAAAAAAGTCAAACAGCAAATGTTCTTGGCCTTGTGTGCCACACGGTCTCTCTTGCAAATGTTCAACGCTGCCACTGTGCCGAAAGCAGCCATCGGCAGTATGTAAACCAATGAGTGTAGCTGTATTCCCGTCAAACTGTATTTATGAAAGCAGGTGACCGGCTGGATTTGACTCACAGCCCACAGTTTGCCAACCCCTGAAATAATATGTAGATGGCTCTCCAACAGACTGAAATCTAAGGAAAGATGCAGATCTCAAGGTCAAATTGAAAATTATAGTGCTTCTTAATTCTATTTTAAAATGCGCTTAGCAGTACCTCTGATTCCTGTGTGGATCTTATGGTGTTTGCCTGCCAATAGCATTTTCCTTAAATGCATTGAGATGCACATCTTTTACCCAACTATTGGCACAAGCTTAGATTCAGTCAACAAAATCAAGTCATTCTAAACATTCCAGGAATAAAAGACTTAATGTATTAATTAGGGCTTACGTCAATGTCAGAATACACTGGGACAGTCGGGTCAAGAAAGTCACTAGTGAAGGCCTGGGAAGCAGACACTGAATATATCTCAGCTTGGCATAGCAAGCTTATCCCAAGCTCTACGGAAATCTCCGATTTGTGAGAACGTCTGAGAAACCTTGCATCAACTGTCTGAGAACCAGTTGCTTTGCTGGTACAGACTGAATCTCCCCCTGCAAAGCCACGGTGAGCCTCCTACCTACCCAACATCCAGCTGCAAGCACCCCTGAGCATACCAGCTTCTACTTCTCTTTCACCTGAAAAACAGCGGACGTTACCACCGCAGCAATCCTAACGCGGGACAGTATGGGGACAGGGACCATAAGAGACGCAGTGCCCCACTTCTCTTCAGGAATTCAGAAGACATCTCCGAAGGGGTGGTACTGATGCCTCCGTGACAACGGATAGTCCAGCACATTCCACCACCCCTTTCTCAGTGCAGCATCCCAACACTCTCCTTTCACCCATTTTTAACTTCCAAATAAGTAAATAACGTAA